TGTTAACAAATAAACACCGAGATGCCAACAGCCTCCCTCCGCCCCAGTCTGCTCCCCCCTAAAAGTGTAATTAAACACACATGCTAGTGGCCGTAAAACATTTAAATTGATTTCAGACAAAAACCTAAACCCTCGAGCCCCTGAGCAAACAGTAAGTGGAGGCCGTAAGTCAAGCCTGGGCCTCGCCGCCAGCCGAGCTGCTGACTCTGGTGCTGCCGGTCCAGCTGCAGCGCCGTGATTTGTGAGGCTTCCGCGCTTTGTACAGTCTTTTTTTTTTTTTTTTTGCTGCATTGTAGGAACCTGCTCCCAGCTCGGATCGTGCCAAAGTTTGTATTATCTGCGATTGGAAGCAGACGCGGGGGTTGATTTGGGTTCATTTTGTTGTAAAGAGGAAGCTTCTGGCAGCGCGGGTCAGGGTCTCTAAACCGTCCCTGTCTGTCTTCCAGAATCTTCTCCTTTCTGGATGTGGTGACACTCTGTCGCTGTGCCCAGGTCTCACGGGTGAGTCTGTGTTCACAAGGTGTGCGTGAGTGCGTGGCTGTTTGTCTGTGTTTTACTGTGTGTTTTATGTGTTTATGTTTGGGAGTGAACTCCAACTAAATGCCTGCTCCTTCCTCCTGCTCCCCGCTCTCAGTCCTGGAATGTCCTGGCCTTGGACGGCAGCAACTGGCAGCGAATCGACCTCTTTGACTTTCAGAGGGACATCGAGGTGAGCAAACTCTTCACTGTAGAGGTCCCATGTTGTGACTCTTCTAAGCAAATTAAAGGAAGTCTCACGTATTTCCTCTCAAACTACTGCAGAGACGGTCGTGACTGTAGAGCTCAGTGCCTGTAGCTTTAAATGCAGCTGTCCCCGCCCCCTTCAGGAAGAAGACTCTCTCTGCATCTGTAAATAACAGTTGATTGTAGGACTTTTTTTGCTTTTAATTTGAGCGATCGATGGACATGCGCACATCGCCAGTTTCTCAGTGTGTCAGAAAAGTGTCACAAAAGATACGAGTTTTCCCCTTCAGACGATCAACCAGCACGTCTACAAAGAGATCCTGCAGCCGAGAGTTGTGGCAGGACGAGTCGTGGCTGCTTCACCATGACAACACGTCTGCTCGCAGCACCCTGAGCATCCCACAGTTCCTGGCTGAGAAGAACATCGCCGTGCTGGAGCAACCTCCCTACTCACCCCACCTGGCTCCATGGGATTGTTTCCTCTTCCCCAAGCTCAAGGGGGTCATCAAGGGGACCCGTTATGAAGACGACATCAAGATGGCTGTGACGACGGAGCTGCAGAGGATCCCAGAAGAATCCTGCTGGTGTGGCCGAGAAGGCTGGGGAAGTGTGTTAGACTCCAAGGGGGATTTGAAATCTATCTTTTGTGACACCAGTCCTGGAACTTTTCTGACACACCTCGACTGAAAACGAGGTCGACGGTTGAATGAATCGACTTTGCCATCAAAAATCCAAATCATCCACTCGGCGCTCATTTCCTCAGATGTGCTTGAGGACGCTTGTGTTCACTCTTGNGAGGTGAGCAAACTCTTCACTGTAGAGGTCCCATGTTGTGACTCTTCTAAGCAAATTAAAGGAAGTCTCACGTATTTCCTCTCAAACTACTGCAAAGACGTGACTGTAGAGCTCAGTGCCTGTAGCTTTAAATGCAGCTGTCCCCGCCCCCTTCAGGAAGAAGACTCTCTCTGCATCTGTAGATAACAGTTGATTGTAGAACTTTCTTTTGCTTTTGACTTGAGCGATCGATGGACATGCGCACATCGCCAGTTTCTCAGTGTGTCAGAAAAGTGTCAAAAAAGATACGAGTTTTCCCTTCAGACGATCAACCAGCACGTCTACAAAGAGATCCTGCAGGCGAGAGTTGTGGCAGGACGAGTCATGGCTGCTTCACCATGACAACGCGCCTGCTCGCAACACCCTGAGCATCAGACAGTTCCTGGCTGAGAAGAACATCGCCGTGCTGGAGCAACCTCCCTACTCACCCCAGAGCTCAAGGGGGTCATCAAGGGGACCCGCTATGAAGACATCAAGATGGCTGTGACGACGGAGCTGCAGAGGATCCCGGAAGAATCCTGCTTGGGAAGTGTGTTAGACTCCAGGGGGATTTGAAATCTATCTTTTGTGACACCAGTCCTGGAACTTTTCTGACACACCTCGACTGAAAACGAGGTCGACGGTTGAATGAATCGACTTTGCCATCAAAAATCCAAATCATCCACTCGGCGCTCATTTCCTCAGATGTGCTTGAGGACGCTTGTGTTCACTCTTGCAGGCGACGGCAGAACATCTGATGAGCTTTTAGAGACACTTTAAAGTTAGCAGGAGCAGCTATAGATGGTAAACATGACTGTTTATTCTAAATGGTTCACCTGGAAGCATTGAGGAGACAGGAAAATGCAAAGTTTGACTGATGTGACCATCTTCAATGTGGGGGAAATGACACAAGCATTAATCCACACCCCCCACATTTACACCAACCACAAGACACACTGAAACATACAACCTTAAAACGAGGCGTAGAAACGAGTAGAACCGGCTGAGTCGCCTGTTTTGTTGCAGGGCCGGGTGGTGGAGAACATTTCCAAGCGATGCGGGGGGTTCCTGAGGAAGCTGAGCCTGCGGGGGTGCCAGGGTGTGGGTGACAGCGCCCTGAGGTGGGTTTGGCGAAGACTCACAGAAATTCTTGTTCTAGACCCTGAAGGCAGAAAGAGACAGTTTGACTGCTGTGACACATTTTTTTTTTCTTGTGTGTAGGACTTTTTCACAGAACTGCAGAAACATCGAGCTGCTCAGTCTGAACGGCTGCACCAAGATCACTGACAGGTCTGTGGTTGGATTATCAGTCGGCGGCGCTGCTGATTTGTCTTGTTCTTCTTTACATCTTTCATCGTCTTCTTCTCCTTCTGCAGCACGTGTAACAGCCTCAGTAAGTTCTGTCCAAAGCTGAAGCACCTGGACCTCGCCTCGTGTACCTCCATCACCAACCTGTCACTCAAAGCTCTCAGGTTTGCTGCTGCTTTTTTTAAAAATCTTTCCTATTAATCCTCTAAATCTCAAGCAGGTTCTGGGTTTTTGCCGCTTTACTATTTTACTTGCTGCGGGTTCATTTTTCTCCTGCATCTCTATGGAAACAGCAACTAGAAGGAGAGAGGACTCAGATGTTTCTTGTATGGCAACGTTTTAATGCAATAAATCATTAAAAAAAAGAAAAATGAAAGTTGAATTTCTCGGATTATTAATTTTGTAAAAATGTAAAAACCTGGAATCGACATGTGCAGTATTTTCCCAATTGCCCACAGCTGTTAATAATACTAGAAAAAAATAAATGCAGGGGCTACACATGCTGTAGATATTTTGCTATTTTCATTTTGACTTTGTTTTAGACTTAACACATAGCCTGCAGTTCAGCCGAGAAGTTCCAGAGTTTTTCCTGCATGGCTGTTGCTCACAGCTGAGTCAGTCATGGCTTTGCTGTTGAACTCATAGATTATATATAATAAACGCTGGATGTCTCGTCCGCGCTGCCGGCCAATGGAATCGCACGACCACACTGGCAGCCATCTTGGCACAGCACACTCGCTCACCCATAGCATTGTGTCGTAGTGGTGCATGTACTTTTTAAATAACCATAACTTGCTCAATTTTCTACCGATTTTCAAACGGTTTGGTTTGTTATAAACGTCAGAGGTGTAGTTATAACACTGCACTTACAGATAATTATGTTACACAATTAGTATTTTAATTATTTTTTATGCTATTTGTATTTTTATAATCTGAATTGTAGCCACGTTAATAATGTTTGTAAGAAACCAAACCGTTTGTAAATCCGTCAAGAGTTAGGCGAGACAAGAGAATTTACGTTTGTGCAGATCACTCACCTTCCTTCAGGGACCACAGGTTCCGCCAGAGAGCTGCCCCGAATCAAGATGGCCGCCGGTGATCCTGTTCGAAACGCCGCCTTAAGACATCTAGCCTTTATTATATCTATGGCTGAGCTGAGGAGCGCAGAATTTTTTCTTTTTTGCAAAATGTAGTTAGAGCAAACAATTAAAAAGATTTTGATGAATTACCACGACTTTAAACTTGGTTACTTTCAACATGTCACCAATGAGGCGTTCAAGAATGTCAGAAAGTTGAAATTTGATGTTTGTTTCTGTGCCACTTTGGTGACAACTTTTCAGCCTCAAAGGCAGAGAATCAGAGATCGTTTTATGCATTTACTGTGTGGCTTGCACTAAACTCTATATCAAGGATATTTCCCTAAAACAGCCTGTTTTCATTGTGTGTTCAGTATGTTGTCTTTGTCTTGTTGTCCCGAGTTCCCACTTCTCACCCTCTTTGTTTTCCCGTCCTCTCAGTGAGGGTTGTCCTTTGCTGGAGCAGCTGAACATCTCCTGGTGTGATCAGGTCACCAAGGACGGCATCCAGGCCCTGGTTCGCTCCTGCCCCGGACTCAAAGGCCTTTTCCTCAAGGGCTGCACACAGGTACTGTTTTAGAAGGAGACGGAGTTATTAAAGTTTCGTGGAAAAAAAAAAGTTCATCTGCTACTTCTTAACTGCACCGTTTTTATTGCTCAACGCTGAACCGATCAGGTGGCCCAGTTTATTTTTAAACCTTTCGTCACTTCTACTAGTTCCTCTTATTTTACTTTCCAAATAGAACACAGCTGCTGCAACTGCATAAAAAAAAAAAACATAAAATGCACCAATTCCCATGCAGCGGGTTTGAGTAAAGGGGCGCCGCACACTGTTTACAGCAAATGTAAAGCCTTCACATCACGCCATCCTGTCATATTGACAGTCAACATGGCTGTGTTAAAAGACAACCACGCGTCTCCGTGCAGGCGTCACACTCCATTTATCTAAAGGAAAAAACAAATCACAACACGTCCGCTCAGTGTGCCGGAGGTGTTAACTCAGCTGTGGTTTGTGGTGCTCTGAACTGTGGAATTTAATTTAATGTCAGAAGTGTCAGATTTTTCCTCATTTGTAATGTCTTCCTGCAGCTAGAAGACGAGGCTCTGAAGCACATCGGGGCTCACTGTCCAGAGCTGGTCACACTCAACTTACAAACATGCTCGGTGAGTAGAGATAACGAGTCGGATTAATCAGGGAAACCAGTGTTGTGGTTTCACTGAGTTGAAACTGAAGCTTCCCTAAAAAAAAAAATAAAAAGTACCCAAATCCTTATTTTTTCCAGTGTGATGCACAACCAATACAGTCGTCCGTCCTCAAATGTATTCATACCCTCCCGTTAGAGAAGGAAGAAAACAGCTGAAATAAGTTGAAACTGACAAAAGTAGTAAGAAATAAAAATTTAATGAAAATCATGACATTGCTTTTGAATCACGGTTTAACAGAAATATATATTTAAATTTAAAAAAAAACAAAAAAACAAGCATGGTGGGACCTGTAAACTAATATTTTGTTGAACAACCCATTTTGGCCCACTGCTCATCAGCAAAAGTGCTCTAATTTGTCCGGGACAATTTTTTTATTTTTATTTTTTTAAATTATTCTTTTCAGCCACAATTCAAAGGCAATGTCTTATTTCATTAAATTATAATTTAGCAAATTTTTATTCATTATTACTTTTTTCAGTTTCTATTTATTTGAGTGACTATTGTGAATTTTTCCTTTTCTTTAATGGAATGTATGAATACATGTGAGGATGACTGTATGTAGAGTCATTTCCAACACATTGTTTGCTCCCGATGCACAAAGGAAACACTTGCTTTCACACTCGACGTGCCTTTAAGTGAATGCATCCTTTCTGTCCCTGCGAGCAGCAGATCACAGACGAAGGCCTCATCACCATTTGTCGGGGTTGTCACCGCCTGCAGTCTCTGTGTGTGTCGGGTTGTGCCAACATCACAGACGCCATCTTGCACGCTCTGGGACAGAACTGCCCTCGCCTCAGGTGAGTTGACGCGCCCGGCGGCTCTCCGGGTTTAGCTACAGATCTTGCAAAAAAAGCCGCTTAATTTGATTATTGTGGAAAGCATTAACTTGGTTTTAGTTGTGTTTTCTAATTGACTTACAGTCTTTATCCTGGTAGACTGATGAGCTCAAAAATAGTATATTTAACCTTCTTAACCCCGAAAGAGGCTGTAAGATTTGAAAAAGCATTTAAATTTTTTTCAAATCGCCTATTGTTTAGAGCAAGCAACTGTAAAAACAGACAGAATTGTGGGATTTTTTTAAACTTTCTTTGAGCAAATTGTGTTTTATGTGCAGTTCAGTTGGGAAAATGAACCAGATCTCAGCCTAAAATTGTGATATTTCATCAAAACAATGTTATCCTACATGTCTCTTTTATAATTTTGCCAAAATAAATAGCTTACTCGAACCAGATTCTGTACAAACAAACAAAAATCTAGGAGGAGGTTTATTTTGAGCTTTAACATTGCAGTAATAGAACGGTAATCATGGAGAAAAACAAAGAGGACGTGGGCCTCTCTACTGTAAAGATAGCTTTACTACTGTAGATCTGGTTACTTTAAAGTCCCATCCAGGCTCGGCGTGCAGGAAGTCCGAGACTGACGGACTGTAAGTGATGCTTCCATTGTGTAACTCTTGTGTTTGTCCTTTCAGAATATTAGAAGTGGCTCGCTGCTCTCAGCTTACAGACGTGGGCTTCACTACATTAGCAAGAGTGAGTTACTCATCTGCACACGCTGCAACCACAATCTCTTATTCTAGTGTTCAAACCGTCCTGGCAAAATGTCTGGACAGTGAAATAATTCAAGCATTCTCAAAAATAAACTCGATAGAGGGTTGTGTAAATTCTGCCTGTGTCATTTCTCTCTGCAGAATTGTCATGAACTTGAGAAGATGGATTTAGAAGAATGTGTGCAGGTAAGTCTGTGTGATAAGCACAGTTGTGTCAAGTCTGCAGTTTTTACTGTTAGATATGTGACTCTTTTTACTTTTGCATCAGATCACGGACGGCACACTCATCCAGCTGTCGATCCACTGCCCTCGATTGCAAGTCTTGGTGAGTGTGTACCTGTCACTTGAAGCACTTTCTGGGCGTCTTTTGCACATTTTTTCCTCACAGTGGACTCATTGTTCACTGCAATATAAAGTCCTGCACCTCTATGGAAACAGAACAACCATGAAGACGGAGAGATAAGTGCCTTCTGTGCACTATAAGGAAGTTATAATTGCAAAGATCATGAATAAAAGGAAAAACTACAGTTTTAATTTTGATTGTTTATTGTACAAAAGAGACGAAAAAGAAATTTAATCAACACGTGCAACATTTTTCCAAGTACTCACAGGTGTTAGCAATACTGGAAAAAAAAAAAATCTTGGCTCTACATGTTACAGATATTTTGCTACTTACGCTTTTATTTGTTTTCATGCTTGTCTCCCATCTGCTCTGTGTAAACACAGCCTGCAGTTCAGCCAAAAAGCCTCCGAATTTGCACACTTGAGTCACTAATGGCTTCTCAGTTACGTCAAGGAACATTTTAGATTGTGTACAGAATGTGGTACAAAAGGTTTGACAGAATTTTAAACAGGACAGGTGAGATGAATATTTCTTTGATGAAATAACACGTTTCAAGCCAGAGTTTGGTTCAGTTTCCAGACAGAACAGCACATTACACAGGACTGCTTCAGTAACTGGCAGTAGGTAAAAACCTGATGATTCTCTCTGTTTTTACAGTTTCTGGCTCTGATACATGGTGTCATTTTGGCAAACATTATATATGACATAGTATTTGGCAAAAACATGTGACTACTTTAGTATGATTGTTTACCCCTGTGTGCTATGTGTAAACACAGGCTGCAGTTCAGCCCAATAGTCCCTGAATTTTTTCTCAAGTGACTGTCGGTTGCAGCTGAGTCACTATTGGCTCCACAGCTGCACTGAGGAACACAGAATTATTTGTTTTTTTACTGAATCTCGTTAATGGTGTGTTTTTGAATTAAACATGTAGAACAAAGAGACTCTGATGGACTAATATGACTTTAAGCTTCGATTTGGAACATTTTGTTCAACAGCACATGACAGCTGAGTAGCTGAAGGGCTGTGGGAAAGTTGAAAAATCCAACAAAAATATAAGGTTTAGTTTAAATTTAACCTGCTTAACCTCAGCAGTGCAATAATACAGTCGTGACTCGATTAATCCGACCCTTAACAATCCGAAAACGTTGCTATCCGACAGGTTTTAGGAAAAACAAACGGAACCCATTAAAAACAGCCTTAACATACCGACAGCCTTGGATTCTGACTCCAACGTGACATTTTATGTCACCAATCAGGATAACGGCGTATTATCTGACTGAACAATCTGACAGATTGGCTCCGTTCACACTGCAGGACTTAATGCTCAATTCGTATTTTTTGTGAAATCCATTTTTCTTGTGAGTTCGTTCACATTTCCAGTTAAACACGGCTTGTATGTGATCTGCTGTGTGAACTTCATACGACCCAAAAGTGTCTCGCTTGCGAAGAAGAGGACACAACGACGTCACACACAGCGAGCGTGCTCAGTGTTTACAGAAGTAAACAGGGATGGTGGCAGCGGCAGGGGAGTGGCGCCACTGGAAACAGAAGTGTGACCACTAGCTAAGCACCAGCCAAGTACTGACTGTGTGTTCTGGCCACTTCCACCCTGTCAGAACGCTCCCCCGGGGTGGAAGTGTCCCCCGACCGCACCGAATATTCTGATATTCATTATTAACAGAGACCAGAAAGTGCTATTGGGACCAGCCCTACTAGTTATAATAACAACTATGAACAATAAATATCAACAACAAATGAGCCTTCAAGCATCAAGCCCTCCTTGTATCTCGACCTCCGTCTTGACAATCTGACAGCCTTGCTATCCGACATAAAAAAAGGTTTTACATTTAGTGTCGGATTATCGAGTCATGACTGTATAGGATTTTAGAGAGATTTCAGAGATGAGCAGTTTAAGGACCATCGGTTAGGTGAAAATCTGATGCTTCTTTCTGGGGTTTTTTTTAACAGTCTTTGGATCTAATAAATGGTGCTTTGTTAAAGAAATGTAGCACCTTTCCAACCTGCTTGGCGTTTTTGTTATTCAGAGGGTGAAACAGGTTTCACTCCTGTTGCATTAGAAACACCGACTCTCGGTTCGCTTTAGCAGACAGCCGAGTAACTCCTGCGTTGGTTTCACCGTCTTCCTCCAGAGTCTGTCCCATTGCGAGCTGATCACCGACGACGGCATCAGACACCTGGGCAGCGGACCCTGCGCTCACGACCGGCTGGAGGTGATCGAGCTGGACAACTGCCCCCTGATCACGGACGCCTCGCTGGAGCACCTGAAGAGCTGCCACAGTCTGGATCGCATCGAGCTCTACGACTGCCAGCAGATCACCCGAGCCGGCATCAAGAGACTAAGGGTGAGTTAGCTGGTAGCAGTGAGTCATTTTTATGCACTCAACATATGCTGCGTTTCATTTGGCTTCACGCTAACTGATTCTATGTCTCTCAGTCATTCAGGCTGCTGTCAGATTGTTCAGTGTTATTTGTTTATGTAAAGTAGAACCAGCTTCTCGCTAAACATAGATGGACATGAACTCTCTACCTTTGCGAAACCACGTCTGCTCTGGGACCACAGACAGACACAAATATCTTACAGTCACAGAGCTGCAATGTGAGAGAAGCCACTCGTTCCACATCTTGGAGGTCTGAAATATCCTTTAACGGAAATAAAATTAAAAAAAACAAAAAAACAACTCCCTGTAGAGTAGATGAACTTACAGGAACAGTTTGTTTTACCAAGACTGTCATGAGAAATAAATCTGTGTTCTAATTCAGGGGCTGCATCCTGCTAAAGCCGTAATTATACTCTCTTTCGGATGCACACAGTTTTCTTGAAGGACTTTGTTCCAAACAGTTTAGCATCTACAGTTGTGAACAAGAGTTTGCATACACTTGAAAAGGCTGTGTTTATTATGGCGGTCCTGAGTTTCCAATGACTCTGATAACTCTCAATTTTCTATGAAGGAATCATTGAAACACTTGTCTTTGTCACAAAATTTGGTTCTTTCATAGATTTATTACAGGTCTTCTGGAGCTATGACAAAATCTGTTGGGTCAAAAATAAACATAAAGCAAAGCTAATATTTTGACTATTTTCACCTCAACTTGGCACTTTTGGTTTCCGTCCGCAAGCTTCTGATTGTATCTTTGACCCTCCTCTTGACAGAATCGGTGTAGTTTAACTACATTTTTTGGCTTTCTAACATGGATTTGTTCATCACAGTCCACCGTTCTTGATGGGGTTTAAGTCAGGACTTTGGGGAGACCAGTCTAAAACCGTAATTCTAGCCTAATTTGACCATTTCTTTACCACTTTTGGATTCATTGTCGTATTACAATACTTGAGTCTTGGAAGGAGTTTGGTATTTTAATCCAGTCCACAGTTCTTGATGGGGTTTCAGTCAGGACTTTGGGGAGATCAGTCTAAAACCTTAATTCCAGCCTGATTTAACCATTTCTTTACCACTTTTGGGTTCATTGTCGTATTAAAATACCAAACTCCTTCCAAGACTCAAGTATTGTAATACGACAATGAATCCAAAAGTGGTAAAGAAATGGTTAAATCAGGCTAGAATTAAGGTTTTAGACTGATCTCCCCAAAGTCCTGACCTAAACCTTAACTCTAGCCTAACTCTAACCATTTCTTTACCACTTTTGGGTTCACTGTTCGATTAAAATACCAAACTCCTTCCAACACTCAACCATCTGACTGATGCTTTAAGTTTTCCTGAAGAATGTGGAGGTAATCCTCCTCCTTTATTATTCCATTTACTTAGTGTGAAGCACCACTGGCAGCAAAACAGGCCTAGTGCATAATAATGCCACCCCCATGCTTGATGGTAGGTTTGGTGTTCTTGGGGTTAAGGCTCACGACTGCCATGATACATGTGGTCTTCTAAAGTGTATGTTAACTTTTGTTGACAGCTGTATGTGTTCTACTGCCCTTGTAGTGTCGTTGTTGTACAGACACAAATTGTAGGCTTCATGAACGCATCTACAGAAAGTATAACACCGACCTGAAGCCCTGTTTACACGGGACTAGTATCAGCTTGAGACCTCCAGTAATTTGCAGTTATTGTGTAGGGCGTCTGTCATGTTAATTACTTGCAAATTTGCCACATCCGGAATTTGTAAAGTTGAATTTCCACAACAAAACAGCAGTTCTGTGAGGGAGGATTCATATGTAGTGACAGACCTGAGAGTCGTGTCAATGTTCTCATTTGAATATCTGTAAGTCAGTGTCGGTAACAAAAATCTAACCTTCGGATGATTCCAGGTGATTAGAATCAAACCAAAGGTAACATTTCAACAACATTGCAACAGTGCTGCAACACACACATACCACAGATGTAGGAGCACAGACTTCGTGCGCTGCAGCTCCTGACCACCCTGAGCATAATGCACGAAGGGGAATCAGATGACATGGATACAAACACTTTGTCCAAATCAAACTCTTGAAGTGTGAGTCAGCGCTCCCACCCACAACAAGTGATTAATCCAAACTAAGCTGTGAAAAACAAACTGTCTCCTCGATAGCAGCGAGCGAACACTCCATCCACACCAAGTTGGACTCGTCATACTTGGATCTCACGCCCGGCTTTAATTTTAATTCAAATCAATCACAGGCCGACTGCGTTGGTAAACAGGAGTTTGTTGCCAGTAATTTGCATTTAGTGAAACTTGATTTGTACAAAAACTTTTAGTGATTTAAGTGCAAACTGTAGCTACTGGTGTGTGTTAAACCTCTTCTCCTGTCATGATTTTATTCACTGTGGGCTCAGTTTTCACTGCAATGTAAAAAAAAGTCCTGCACCTCTATGGAAACAGAACAACCATGAAGAAAGAGAGAGAATTTAGAAGTGTTTTCTGTAAAGTATGACACAAATAGAATGTTAGAAAAGGAAAAAAATAAGTCATTTTTTAATGTAGATTATTTATAATACAAAAAAACCCAACAAGACTTATATGTATAAAAATTACATATAATATTTTCCAAGTAGCCACAGATGTTACAATACTAGAAAAAATAACTGGTGACTCTGCATACTGTAGATATTTAACTATTTGTCTTTTAATTTTGTTTCCTTCTCTCTGCTCTATGGAAAGCCTGCAGTTCAGCCGAGAACTCACTAAATCTTTGTCATGTGACTGTTGGTCACAGCTGAGTCAAGTTGGTTCAACCGGGAGTGTTGAATTTTCTTTATTTTGTTTTTAGATTCACTCTGGCTCTGGTAAATGTTGTCAGTGGGATGTTAGAAATGTCATTGAGTGCAGACCTTTTTGAGTATTTTTTATTTTTTTGGTTAGGATGAGATAAAATAGAACTTTATTAATCCTGAAGGAAACTGTCGTGCCAGATATTGCGCAGCAAAAACCATGACACAACATAGAATAAATACAGTGACTAATAGAAAAGCAATCAGCTAGCAGGATGATACATGACTGGAAATAGAATAGGAAAGTTAAAATAAGACTAGAGTAGAAAAGTAACAAGTAATACTGAATTAGTAAAGTAATATTGTTTGTGGTAATGAAATATTACACTTTACATTGAAATATTTCTGAGAAAAACTGTTTATTAGTGGCTTTTTTTCTTTTCTTTTCTTTTTTTAAGAATAAAGTGATGTTGATGAACTAATGTTAAGCTTAAATTTGGTTTCCTGTTCTGTCTTTTCATAGTTTGTGGCTCTGAAAAATATTGATGTCTGTAGAAAGAGCGCCAGAGTGGCTGGAAGTGAGAGAAGTCAAAGATATCTGCTGTGCTGTATGACACAGTTAGAATGTCATAAATCATAAAAAAAACAAAGAAGGTTGCATGTATTCATTTATCTATCAAAAATGTACACGTAGAACATTTTCACAGGTATCCAGTCATAAACGTGACTCTACATACTAACAGTGTTTTACTACTTATATTTTTATTATAGTTATAAACTGCAGTGCCACTGAAGTGGTAAATGAATATTACACATGATACTGAAATATTGCTTTAAAATTTCTATTTAAATAGTTAATTTTTGGGGAATTTTGTAAATGAGATATGGTTGACAAGATATGAGATGATTTTGCTTAACGACACTTGACAGTTGAGTAGTTCATGGGCTGTGGGAAATTTTAAAACCAACAACTGTCCAACAATTCTTGAAGAATATAAGCTTTAAGTTTAACCCAATCCATAAGCAGTGTCTGTGTGTTTAATATTCAGATGTTTATGTGGTTAAATGTCCTGATGGAACAGCGTAGCACAGATGAGTAGTTCAAGGACCGTCGGAAAGTTGAAAATCTAACGATTCTCTCTGTTTTTACAGCTTCTGACTGAAAAAATGGTGTAATTTTGTATTGTTTTTTAAAGCCAACATGCCTTTTGAACCACCTCCAGCAGTTTCCCCACATATTCCAACGAGTCACTGACAAGTCCGTTGTGTTTCTTGCGTTTCAGACCCACCTGCCTAACATCAAAGTGCACGCGTACTTCGCTCCCGTCACTCCGCCGCCCTCCGTCGGGGGCAGCCGCCAGAGGTTTTGCCGCTGCTGCGTCCTGCTATGATGTAAAGACCCCCTTCCCCTCTTCCTCCCCCCGTCGTCCTTCGTCCACGCTCCTCCCACACGTCACCTCACCCCTGACCTCTGTCCTCCCCCCCGTCCATCATAGACTACATGCTGGTGTGTCCCACCCCCACCACCCCCACCTTATGGAGCTGCAGAGAGAGGGAGCGAGCCAAACATCGCTGCAGGGTTTTGGGTAACATTTCCCCCCCCAACACAAACGACATCCTCGAATCTCACACGAGCCACAAACACACTCACACATTAACTCCTGCAAGAACACATTCCTGATCTGCGTCAGTATTACAAAGAGGGTGGGGAAAAAAATAAATCAGACGCCGCTGCTGAGGGATTTACTGCAAAAGGATCTTTCAGAAAAAAAAACCTGACTTTTTTCTCCTCACGAAGCACTTTGAGACAGATTTGAAGCATCCCGTTGAACCACTTTATTCCCTCGGTGGTGAAATAACAGCTACCTCTAGACAGTGTTTGCTTGCAGGCTGTTTATTTCAAAATAAGAGAGAGGAAAAAAAAAAGAAAGGGGGCAGCGATATATTCAATTAACTGCCAACATCCCCAACACACACACACACACACAGAGGAAGCAGCAAAAGGACTCTTTGGTGTTTTTTTTTTTATTATTATTTTAATACTTGCAGCTATTTGCACTTACAGTCAAGCAATGATGAGACACTTTATCTCAAAATCGAAGCATTTTACTAACAAAACACACGGATTTAAGAAAAACAAATGCATCCACTGCGCTTCAAGCAGCCACCGAAGCCCCTCACCTCTCTCTCTCTGTCTCTGTGTTACAATCAGAATATACTGAAGAGAAAAAAAAAACAATATTTTTCTAAAAAAACAAACTTCAAAAAAACAACACGACACAAGTGGGGACTCGGAGAAGATGCCAAATGTTGCATGTAACACCTCTAGTTTTTTAAAAAATCTAATTGTAAATACGCGAGGAGGACCGCGGGGAGTCCAAGCCAGCTGGAGAAACGACGCGAAGGCGACGCGAGATCACGGCGAGTCGGTCGGCGGGGAGTTTCCGAGGACACGGAAAAGACACTACATGACTTCCGGGCGGGGACGACGGAAAGAAAGAGAGAGAAAAAAAAAAAGCCAACTGAAAACAATCAATTTCTTTTCAGTTCGATTTCATTGAGTTGTTTCTCGACGAGGAGCGGATGAGTCCCATGAGGCCTTGCAGGGCGACGGAGTGACACTTCCGGCCTGCTGACGGAATGATTTATTTTATTTTGTTTTGTGTGTGTGGGGGGGAGGCTACAACGGACTTCAAGCCCCTCGACTTTTTGGAAGTATTTCAGCCTTTTTCTTTTCTTTCTTCTGGATTATCTCGTCCTGCACCTGCTTTATTCTGTCTCATTTTATAAATGTGTCTCTTTTCTTTCTCCTCCACTCGATCTCTTTCTGTTTTTTTTTTTTTTTTTTTGCTGTGGTTTTTTTGGATTCTGCCTGCTTTGTGTTTTGAAGTTCAGTGTCTCAGTTTGAAGCCCCTCTTCCCTCAGTTTCGATCGGATGGAGTTTTTTTTTTTTTTTGTCATTAAGAGTTCATTGTTACTAAATGTCCAGCCTTTTTGTCCGGGGGACGTTTCGACACCAGTGCAATTGTAATAAATGTTAAATGTTTTCTTTTTTTTTTTTGTTGCTGTTGTAAATGTGAGTTGAGGAGTCCTCGATGACGTGTGTGTGTGTGTGTGTGTATGACGTAGGATCCACTTTATTGAATGTTTCCATCATGGAGAGGCTCTTCGGGCGTCTGGTGCCGCTTTAGTAGAAAGATTTCTTTCCTCTCCTTTTCATTTTTATGCCTTTCGCTCTCCAGACTATTGATCGGCCACATGCACGGCTGCAGGCATGCATCAGGCACAACGCTGCAGGATAATACGAGCCGAGATGAATCCAGTGTAATCCAGTCTGATCTGTTTTGTTTGAATGAGGAGGGGAGGAGGAAACGAGAGTCAAAATGGCGGAGAAATGTAATGTACTCTGTCCTCATGCTCCGGGGTTAAGACTAAAGTCATAGGATTCCAGACGACAGCGACACTTTGAATGGATTACAGTAATACTCAACCTGCTCCCCACAGAAAGAAATAACCTGTCACCAGTCTGTTCAAGGTACAGAAATACACTACAAGGCAGAGAAACACCGGATTTTATTTCCCAGCTCAGCATCCAACACCTGTGTCCGTTTGTTTTTCTGCATGTTCGGTCCCAAACACTGGAGTCGGGTTGAGGATTTTACAAAATAAAAGAGGGCAACAGGTGAATCTACAGTGTGTTCATGGTAGATTGACTCCTGAGAAATAAATAAAAACAAACAAAAAAAACCAGTTTTGACAATGACTGTAGTTCATATAATTACTGTAAATCTTTTCCTTTTTTTCTTTTCTTTTTTCTTCTTTTTTTTTTTTTTTTTTTTTACAATTAACCGATATAAATGAATATGTACGTATGAATAAATATATACCTATATTATTAAGACTTGTCTAGTTTTCTCTCTGGTGTTGAATATGTTCGTTCAGTCGTCTCTGATTTGCTTGAAAAATTTTTTTTGAAATCATTAATTACAGATGTTTAAAGTAGCATCTGTGAAATTTACCCATTGACCCACTTTAAGCAGGTTTCCTCAATGAAATTTGAGGCTGTTTGAGCGACAATATCTAAGTTCTAATAGGTGAAAAACTGTAAAAATGACACAAAAGACACAAAAACGACAAAGACACAAGAAGATGCAAAAAAGTAAAATACAAAAAGCCACAAAAAATGCAAAACATCACACATTAAGACACAAGAGGATGCCAAAATGACACAAAAGATGCAAAGACGAGGCAAAAAAAGATGAAAAATACACAAGAAGATGCAAAAATGACACAGAAGACCCCAAAAAATGCAAAAATGAGACAAGACACAAAAGCAAAAAGGAAAAATAAAATACAAAAAGCCACAAAAGATGCAAAACAACACACATAAAGGCACAAGAGGATGAAAAAATGACACCAAAAAAAATGACACAGACACTGACTGTTCTTTCTGTTTTTACTGTATAATAAAGGGTGTAATTTTAACACTAGAACCATTAAAGATAGAAGGCTGAACTTTTCACTGTTACTTCTCCAAAACTCAGCTCTACTTGGATTAAATTTTTACTATAACAGTGAAAAATTCAGGTTTTTATCTTTTAATGTTTTCTGAGATATTGTTGTTCAAACAGCCTTAAGCGGGAAAAAAATCTGCTGAAAGTGGGTCAACGGACAATTTAAAAATGTGTATTATCTCGGGAAAATAGTTGATTAGCTAAAAATCTTTAAATTTCTTCAGAAATAAAAATAGTTTATGCTCTAAAAGTTTAAGGCAGATCAGAGATGGTGGAGCAGAAACTGTTCTAAAAATATTTGATGGTTTGACATGGAATGACCCTAAAACGAGAAAACGACAGACATTAAAAAAAAATTGCAATAAGTCAGTATTAATGAATGCAAATAACATAAGAAGAGCAATGCAATCTTCATAAGCAATAAATAGATAAAGTTCCTCATAAGCAGGTGTATAAAAGTGGGTTTTGGGAAGTGATCTAAAAGAAGTCTGTGACTCTGATGTCAAACTCTAAGCCTCAACTTTGAAACAACCAGAATGACGTGATATCATGGAACTGCATATAAACAGCATGTCACTGTTGGTGTGTTTCATGTGTAACTTCTATGCTTTTTAAGCTTCGTCATTTTATGATGGAGGGTTGTTTATGGCGTGCAGTGACCCGCTTAATGCACAACACGTGATTTGTGATGTGTTAAAAACATTTCATGATTGGCTTTGGGCCAAACCCAAAAGGGTTTATGTACATTAAGATCCTAGTGATCTAATTATTTTAGAAATCTCAGTACAGTCGTAAATGAGTTCTTAGACAAACAGGGAGCCAATGGAGAGAAGTAAGAATTAAGGTGATGTGAATCATTTGAAGTTCATTGAACTTAGTAACGGGCTGCAAGGTGACTCGGTGGTTAGCACCGTAGCCTCGCATCAAGGTCGTCGGTTTGCGTCCTGGTGAGGACACCCGGGATCTTTCTGTGTGGAGTTTGCATGTTCTCCCCGTGCAGCGTGGGTTCTCTCCGGGTTCTCCAGCTTCCTCACACACAGTCCAAAAACATGTTGAGGTTAATTGGTGATTCTAAATTGTCCGTGGGTGTGAATGTGAGTGTGCTTGGTTGTCTGTCTCTAAGTGTAGCCCTGTGATAGACTGGTGACCTGTCCAGGGTGTCTCCTGCCTTCACCCTGAGTCAGCTGGGATAGACTCCAGCCCTTCATGACCCTAGTGAGGATTAAGCGGCGGATGGATGGATGGATGAACTTAGTAACCCAAGTTCTTACACCATCTTAAAAATGTGAGTTTGGTTGATTGAATTAGTTTATTTTATTGTCTTATGAGTTGCCAAAGTGTAGAACTGGCTGAGAAAACACCTTTAATAAACTTAAGGTATTGATTTGAATGAATTAGTGTAGAGGTCTTGATCACAACTGTTTTGATTAATATATAAAGAAGCAACCATAATTTAGCTGAGTTTATTAAAGACAACCAGTAATGCCTGTTTTCTCAATAAATGAAACAATCAGTCTCTCAGGCCTTCTTATCTTTGAATAATGCACTCTGGGAAATCTGCTTACAGTACCTGCTAGTTTTGTTTTGTATAAACTTAATGAGTGAATTCTCAGATGTTTCTTCATTCAACTTGTAATTTGAAGTCAAAGGTTTAAAGAACTTGTGTTTCAGAGTTCAAAAGTGGCCTTAAAATAAAATGTAGTTAACAAGAAATGAGCAGAACTCACATATTTATGTCAAGTAAACTAATAAAAGATGAGTCAAATGGACTAAATTCCTTAATGATGGTTTACTGTGCAGTAAGAAGAGCTGCTGCATTTCTCAAGAGAGTTAAGAGAGGGAATTTTTGGGGGTTTATGCCAAAAAGGATGAAGCAGTTGAAGAAATAAGTTCAAGGATGACTTTTGGAAGTTTAATTCTGGAGCAGGAAGCAGGACTGGATGATGTTTCTAGTCTGTGGTTCAAAGTTCAGCTCTGAATTTCTGGTCTTCACATGAGCAGACTGGAGACTGTTTGACGTTGCAGCAGTAGATGGCAGCAGTGAGCCAGCGGTAACCACTCCTCCATCTGTGCCTCCGCTCTGAGTCGGGCTCTCAGCTGGTTGTGTGATTCAGGATTAAATCAGCTTTTCAATGAGTCTAATTGATTTGCTTTAGTCAAGGAGCAGAATTGGAAAAACCAACAGTTCTCAGACTGGAATTTGTGTTTGTTTTTTAAGGGGGGGGATCAGACAAATATAACTTTGAAAGAATCGTTTGTTCTCACATAAAAATAAAGCAACCTGGTGTTGTAATTCTGCATCGGCCAGTTTCTGAGAACCTGAAGTAAATATGGCTGTTCTGAAGAGACAACACAGGTGTAATTAAGGAGATTAACAACGGCTCTGTTCTATTCTGGTGTCCTAGTTAATGTGAGCCAACACTCACAAGACCAGAACGTCACAGTTGAATCAGCTAAATGGAATTCAGCCATCGGTCTGTGTTTTTATAAACTTATACGTCTGTAAAAGAAATGATTTCGGCTTGTTTTGCTGTGTTTGTAAAGAAGGATGCTGCTACATATTAGAGAAACATTTCCACTCGGCTACATTCATCTGACAGCTTTTTGAAGATGAAAATTTGACACAAAGGAAAATATAATGAGCTTTTAAAATGCAACACATAGTACATTACAGTTTAGCTTCCTTTAAAAAGCAATGTGTAGTTGGGCTTACATTTCAGATGTCTGTGTGGGATTTTTCCCTCGAAACGTCTCACATAGTCTCATTTCAATAAATAATGACAAATGATACAAACATACTTTTACCCTCCAACTTTACAAGCCTTCCAGGTCCGGCTGCTGAGAAGCATCATGATGTTACCACCACCATGCTTCACATCATGATGCTGCCACCTCCCTGCTTCACGTCATGATGCTGCCACCACCATGCTTCACAGTGGGGATGGTGTGTTTGGTGTTAGCCAAACATAGCCTCTAGTCCAGGGGTGGGCAATCCTGGTCCTCGAGGGCCACAGTCCTGCATGTTTTAGATGTTTCTCTCTTCCAACACACCTGATTCAAATGATCAGGATCGTTATCAGGCTTCTGCAGAGCTTGATGATGAGTTGATTATTTGAATCAGGTGTGTTGGAAGAGAGAAACATCTAAAACATGCAGGACTGTGGCCCTCGAGGACCAGGATTGGACACCCCTGCTCTAGTCAGATAGCCAAATTGCTCAATTTTAGTTTCATCAGACCAAAGAACCTTCTTCCATCTGACTTCAGAGTCTCTCACATGCCTTCTGGTGAACTCTAGTCCAGTTTTTTTTTAATTATTATTCCAGCCCTTTTCAAATGTGTCTTTCTCTTCTTCACTCTCCCATAAAGCTTTGACTGGTGAAGAACAGGCAGCAGTTGTTGTATGAACAGTCTCTCCCATCTGAGCTGCTGAAGCTTGTAACTCCTTCAGAGGAATCATAGGGGTCTTGATGGACTCCCTTACGAGTCACTTTCTCGCTCAGTCACTCAGTTTTTGAGGCTGACCTGCTCAAAACGTGTCATATTCCTTCCATTTCTTTTTGATGGATCTAACTGGACTCCAAAGGATATTAGACTTAGAGATTTTCTTGCATCATCCCCTGCCTTAGACTTTTCAGTAACCTTTTCACAGAGTTGCTGGGAGTGTTTTTTGTCTTCATAATGCAGTTAGCTCCAGTTTTATTCTATTACCTACCACGAAACCAAAAAGCTCCAGTAAAACGAAAGAACACTTACTGCTCTGAAGAACCACATTAAGTATGTGAGGAATCATCCCCTAAATAAAGAAGTACTTTAATGGCTGATGGTGCCTTAACGAACCAGAGAGCTTTCTGAGAGTACCATCAAAATGGTAACTGGATCTCCTCACTGTTTGGGTCATGGGTTCAAGGTTTACTCTCTAGTGAGTTGAACAGACTTGGAAAACTGTGAACAGATTGTTTACACTCAGTGTTATACGATCATTTTACATCATTCGGTCACAATCACAGCTAACCCCTGAGATATAATAGTATCACTGGACAACACTATCAGATTTTGCTTTAAAAGGTGACTCCTGTAGCTGAGAAACGTCCCCATAAAATAATGATGCCACCACCGTGCTTCATAGTCATTTGATACGTTGGGTTTTACATGGTTAATTTTTGTGGGGTCTTTCTCTTAAATTTTAAATAAGTCAGGTAATTTGTTGAGGTTTGTAATATTGTAGTTTTTTAACCCTATCATTGACTATATATGATATTGTCCTCCCAGATAAACAATAGTTCTTTAAAAGAGTCTCTGGGTGCCGTCACCAGTTGGAGAACATCTTCACTTCGGGGATGCTTCTTCACATACTCTGTGTGGCACTTTAAAGTGCTTCATTTTTACTGGAGTTATTTTGTTTGGTGGCATCTAACAGCACAAAACACAAGCTGCAATTATTACAGACGAATCTACAGATTGTTTCTCAATTACTTCTCGTAGATTAATGGTAGCAACTGGACTTGCTTGAGTTCCTTGAAGACCTCTCATCCAAGAGGCTTCATCAGTTCTGACTGACTAGTTGGGAGTTCCAGGTACTTATATCCTAAAGGAGCCATTAACACCTCAGTTTCGGTTTCATTTGAGGGTTTGTTGCTCCTCCTCTTCGTTGTGTGAGTCCTTAGTTTCTCAATTAATTATTTCGTCTATAAATCATCAGAAAGTTGGCATCTTGCAGCACCTTGTTCTGTCCGATCAACAGTCCAGAACCAAAACTATTAAATGTATTGTACTGACAGACTCAAGGTGCCATCTCCGGAGCTCAAGCATGCCGAGTCAAGTCTGTACATTTGTGTGCGCTCACGTTCACATGTCTGAGGTGGAAACACAAGGAGAACAATCAGTTTCAATTTATCCGGGCTGAAGAAGCTCTGGTCCTGTGGCTGCACCATGACGACCGCTGTCAGGGCTGGGATCTGTCTTCCGCCGCATGGGACTCATTTTGTTCCTCTCATCCTCCCATTGTTTTCTCCCGGTCTTCTAAATCACTGAAAGATCAATGCGTTTTCGCTGCTGGTTTAATGTTCATTTTTAGCAGCAGCGTTTCTGGCACCTGGGGTATCGCACGGAGGATGAAAGGTTGGTGGCTCAGAGGGAGAAATTTAAATGCATGTGTGTTTTCCCTCATTGACTTCCCTCTGCAGTTTTGAGTTTAAACACGGATCACAGCACACTGAGATATTGTGCTTCTGTTTATTTTTAACAGCAAAAAAAAAAAGAAGCAATGCCAGACACTAGAAAGCTTCTTTTTCTGCAGTGTTCCTTTCAGCAGTCGCTCTGCTTCACGCTGCGTCCCGACTCTGAGTGAAGCAATAATTAATGTGATAACAGACGCTCCCTCTCTTTGTCTTTCTTCTGTCTCTTTTCTGTAACCCACCCACGCCCAAAGACTTTCTGACAGCTTAGAGCAAACTTTGATGTCAGGCTTAGGTGAAATAAAGCCATGCAGATAGGAAAAGAAGGTCACATTTCGAAGGCCTTCCTCGTGTCACTCAGTGAGGGGTTCTGTGTTAGCATTTTGAAGAGCCATCATTACTTCACATCTACTTGTATTTCACCGTTATTGGGTTAATATGAAAACCTGCAGCTGCGTCCTCAACCTTATTGCTTCATTCGTCTTCATTCTTTAATCCTTTACCTATACCCAGACTAGTCGTGGCAGACGTTGGCCATCCTTAGGTCCGGTTCTGCTGGAGGGGAAGTCTCACCACAAATATGCTGCTCATAGGGAATCTTTGACGATCATGAACAAACAGTCATAAATTCTCAATTGAATTTAAGTCTGTGTTCTGACTTAACCACTCCAGAAGCTTCACCTTGTTTACTTTAAACCATTTCCGTGTATCTTTGGTTGTTTGCTTCTGCTCACTGTCTTGCTGGAAAACAAATCTTCTCCCAAGTCGTAGTTCTCTTGCAGACTGCATCAGGTTGTCCTCCAGGATTCTTTTATACTTTGCTGCATTCATTTTACCCTCCACCTTTACAAGACTTCCAGGACCCTGCTGCTGAGAAACATTCCCACGTCATGATGCTGCCACCACCGTGCTTCACAGTTGGGATGGTGAGTTTGAGATAATGTGCTGGGTGTTGGGTTTCTGTCAAACATAGTGTCTAGTCTGGTGGCCAAAAAGGTACATTTTGTTCTCATCACACCACAGAACTGTCTTCCAGTTGACTTTAAGTTCTCCCACATGCCTTCATCATATTATGATAATGCCACCACCATGCTTGACAATCTTTAGATATGGTGGTTTTTACATTTTGTGGATTTTGACCTTTTTTTTGAGAGACAGAAGCCTCTGGTTCTGCAATCTTCCATCACTTACTAAAGAACTTTTCCCTTTAGGGGATGGTTCTCTAAAGTACTGAAAGTTCTTCTATTTTATTGTAGTTATTTGGTTTGGTGGCAGCATTAAATTACAGCTAAAACTCGTACTGATTAACCTGCAGATTGTTCCTCCAAGTAATCTTATTTTAATACATTAAATATCCGTAATCGTGTAATCTGTTGTTTTATTAGACAAACAGTCCATAGTTCCACAAGGAACTATCTTGAAAATTGTTCTTTAAAGAACCTATTTTTCAGTTCATTGGAGTACAATTTATGATGCCTAGAGGAAGCTTTATTTAATGGTTGTTTGAGGCACCTTTGAAGATTTTTTTTAAAGAACTGTTTGAAGAAATTGTTTGCTAAAGAACCTCCTGCTGAAAGGTTCCTTAACAAACTAAAAATTGGTTCTTCTATGGCACCACTGCAATGGATCGGTTCCAGTTAGCACCTTTAATTTTCAGAGTGTAATCTCAAAAAACATATTATAATATATATAAAATATTTAGGGAAGGATTCTTCACATATTTGGCAACTTGTAATATGTTGTTCTGTCTTACCAACAGTCCAGAACCCAAAATATTTAATGTGTTCTAATGGAAGGAACCCAGAAATGCTGCAAACATTACATTTGACTTTTTTTTTTTGTTCAAAAGTGATCAAATCCTGTTATCAAAAGATAACTCGGTGGGTTGACGGACAACTGTCTTGAAAACGGTTACTAAAAGAATCTATTTTGTTGTGCTCAAAAAAACTCCAACAACTTTTGGTGGTTGTTTGGCGCAACTTTGGGGACCCTTTAAAGAACATCTTTGAAGAAATGGTTTGTTAATTTTTCTTAAAAGGTTCTTTTGAAGTGAAACTGAAAATAGTTTTTGTAGCATCACTGGAAAGAACCATTCTCAGTTCCTTTATTTAAGGGTTTTAAATTTCATGTTTAAATTTGTTTAAATTCTGTATTTCTCTGCTGGAAAGCGGTGCGGCTGAACTGCTGTTGGTTTACATGTGCTGTGTTAATAATGGTGCTTTGACTTGTCTTATATCAGTCGTGTACATGTGTTTCTAAAAGGTGACAATCAATAGGAACTTGCCCCGAGAGGGAGGAGAAAATGAGATTGCGTTTGAAATCAGTGGTACCAACACTGTGGTCTTACTGCAGCAGCTTTAAATGAATGTTCTCAGCAGGGCAGCAGCCACATGGATGGCAGCTCCTGTGTTCACAGCTTCAGAGAGCAACTGGAAAATGAGGACGGATGAATGATAACAGAATAGAGTGAGCAGTTCAGCCTGTGTGGAACATTTTTTTCTGTCTGCTGAAGGACAAAGACATCAGTTCTGACCCACAGCTTTATCTGCAGAAAGTGCTCAAATAACTTCCTTCAGTTGTCCTTCCTATCCTTTTATTTTAAGTTTTGTTCTTATTAAATTGCTTTTTGTGTTATTTTCTGTCTATGATGTAAAACTCTAGTAGCCTTCTGGAATGTAAAAGACTTTGTGAATATCTGAGCTCGCCATAAATCTGAAATTGAATTAGTTAGAGTCACTGTGTGTGCTCTCAGTTACTATTTGTAGCCGGGTTTTTTTTGGTTGCAGCAGCAGAATTAAATGGAGCAGCTCCATAAAGCGGGAAAATGAAGAGCTGCACTCGGAATCTTAAAGAGAAAATCAGCTCTCTGTTTGCAAATTATGAGCTCTTCAACATTTAGGCTTTAAATGAGCCTCCGCCCATCGCCGTGACTCCTGCTTCAGTCTAAATGAATCCTGGCAGAGTTGTAAAAATTTGCCCCAATCATGCGCCTCAGACGCACGGAAAGGCGTGCCTCGGGTTGCGCTTAAATTTAAGTGTGTGCAGCGATGAAGGACACACTTCGCTGTGGATTTACACCCGGCTGGAGCCTCTAGAGCTCACGCAGCTGTTTGTTCGGATCTGATTTTTCACGCTGACATCTACACATCGACGTTTTTTTTTGTGCTGATTCCTTTTTTTTTCGGACGGGGATTGTGCCACATTGGAGCTTTCCGGCGCGCGTCAGCGGACGACACACTAGTCTGCCCACACACGGCGGGTTCAGCCGTTTCCTCAATGCTTCTTCTTCTTCTTCTTCATGGCATGAACGTGATATAAACAGCTGGTGTGTGTGTGTGTATGCAGCCTGTTAACAAATCAACCGGTGTGTGGAGAGCCGGTGGCCGGAAGGCAGCGCGCACCACAGACCCCTCTGATGCGGATGTGTCACACTTTGACAGGTTGTTTTATGGATAAAACTGGAGGTTTTCTGGTGACTGGACGCAGCTTGAGGAGTTAAAAGTTTTTTGGGGTGTTTTTTTATTCTTGGTGAACGATTCTTTCCACCGCGGCACCGATGATGACTGAGAACAACGAGATGGAGAGCGAGTCGCAGCTCCAGCGCTCTCCAAGCACCATGTCCATCCAGCCCATGTCATCCAAGGCAAGTGTCCACACTTCAGAGTTTGTTTCCATACACTAAATATGTAAAATATTGAAATTAAAACACATAAATTCAAGCAGTGAAGTTTGCAAAGTAGTACTGGGAGCAAAAATACTTCCAGATTGAATTAAAACTCATTCATTTTCCAATCTGAGCTCTAATTTTGCGTTTTTGCGCATTTCTCCACCGGTATTATTCCACCGGTTTATGTAATGCTGATGACAACTCTTCACAAATGCAGTTGTATTCATCACTGCTGCGTCACTAGGTGTAACCTCACACGTAAGGTCTGATGTCACACTGTCTCCCCCCTCCTTGTCTCCCCCCCTCCCTCTCCAAATCACGCACACACACCCACAAATAGGATTTAGGATTAGTTCACAATGTGCATTTTAATGGCTAGTGGGCGAAAATATGCAATTTCCATACAAGAATGCTCATGATGAATGCTTTTGTGTATGTGTGATTCTGTTTTTGGTGATTAGCTGCAGTTTTTTGTGTCCACTCCTTGCTGCTATTTCTTCTATTCTGCACAAATGGAAGAATTATGTGCCTAATATACAGATCCTTTCACCGCACAGTCGCCGGCCTGAGCTGCAAGTGTCTTTATGATTCCATTTAATTTGTTGACTCAACTGTATAAACAAAGATTTGTCAAGGACTGGCCTCCGAAGAGCAGGAGCTGTGAGAGTGTTCTGCCTTTTTTAATGGAAAGTCACTTGATTCATTAGACCGACCCACTTGATACAACTTTGCCTGAGTCAAGTCTTTGTCTGCACCTCGTCCCTCATTTCTCGCCGCCCACGTTTCAAACACTCGCGCACACATTCAGGCTGGTGACATGTTTGAAGCAAAGTGACACTCCTGCTCGGCACACTGAGATACTCCACCAGCCGGCTGCTTCATCTAAATATTTCACGTCTTCTGAGGGAAGTTGCTGCGAGTCTTTTTTTTTTGCGCCGCTTACTCTTTTTGGAGAATTTTTAATGATCTTACTTTCACAGTTGATTCTGGAAACTCTGCAACACTGTGCGTGGCAGGTTCCCTATATCTTGTCTCGAACAGTTGAGTTGGCATCAAAGACATCATCCTCAAATGGTTCAATATATATGTGAGAAGCAGGAGCTTCACAGTTCGCTGTGTTTTTTTAATCTGCTACCCTGGAGCCTTGTGGAGTCCCTCAAGGCTCCGTTTTGGGCCCCATCGTCTTTTCATTATATGCTGTGATTTGAGTCCGTTTTTAAGATAAATAAGATTCAAAATTAAAAGTGAAAACCCGCACAAGACATTAAAATCTGCATAGATTTAAACTTTTTTTAAACCTAACGAATGTAAGCATGAGATGCTGGATCAACCAGACCTTTTTTGATGATCTTGGCACCACTTTGGCTTCATACAGTCGATATTTTGTGAAAAACTTCGACAGATTCTTCAAATTTAACATCCAGATCAGTGGTCAAAACTAGACTTTTTGCTTCTTTGAAGGCCGATATCAGTCCTACACACTTGGACTATTGTATCATAATTCACTGCATGTTGCTGTAAAGTCGTCCTATGTGATATAACGGCAAAAATTACAAGCTGCTTCATCAAATTTCTATCTTTTTTTAGCTTTTAAAGTCTAATTTTATGGTGTGAAAATAACATGTGAGTTGGTTAAAGTTGGTGTAAAGGTCAGAGGTCATGGCGTGCAATGAAATGCCAAATGCAAGATCTGGTAATGTCTGTAACAGTTCTAATGCCTGCTCAGACTTAGGAAAGTTGCTGCTAAAGAAGGACATCTTCTCAATGTCATTTGATGAAGGTACTCTCAGAACAGTAACATTTCCTGAGAAGGATCTCTGGTTCTTCAAAGCGCCATTACCAATTGAAGAACCTCCAGTATTTAGGGCATTGATCTTCATGAACTTGGGGGTCTTGAAAGAGCAAATACAACTTAATCTTTATTGGAGTTACTTGGTTTGTTGGGACTGGCGACCTGTCCAGGGTGTCCCCTGCCTTCGCCCTAAGTCGGCTGGGATAGGCTCCAGCCCTCCCGTGACCCTAATGAGGATTAAGCGGTGTATAGATAATGGATGGATGGATGGATGGTTTGTTGGGAGGTAATAAGACAACCTTGAACAGCCTATGAAGTGTGCAAATTCTTAGAACCAGATGGATCCATAAGGAACTATCTTGAAAATGGTTCCATAAAGAACCTATTTTTGCTAAAGTTCTTCAGAGCACCATTTACGGTCTCATAAGTAGTTAAGCGGATCTATTTTCATATGTGTTCTTGTGAAGTCCAAACATTATTAGAGTGTAACGGAGATGTTTTTTTGATGGTTCTTTGTTGCACGTTTTATGGTTCTTGAAAGAATCTCTTGCTAAAAGGTTGTTTTTGTGGACGTAACTATGGTTCTTCAACGGAAATCGCCGCAAAGAACCATTTCCAGCTCCAGTTAGCGCCTTTTTATTTTGTAGAGCTCGACAGTTTGGCTTCATCTTTTATTGTGTAACTTTTATTTTTGGTATTTTCTTGTCTTTTTTATTCAGGTTGGTCTTTTAGTCATTGTGCTCTATTACGTTTCATGTCCTGCGATTTTAACCAAACAGGAGTCTTGCTGTTTCTAAAGGTGCTTTTATGAATAAATCATTTGGACACCTCAGTTCTCCGCTCCACTCCAGCTGCTAAACCAAAGAAAATCAGGCCTGATTCTACTCCCAGCAGCCCTGATTGGTTTTCATTCACCACATCACAAACGCTGAATCCACAAACTCATCAGTCCGGTCATCTGTCACAATCAATTGAAGCTGCACCTTCAGCCTTCATGCACCTGGAAATTCTTTCAAATAACAAACCGCAACTCGGGGGGGATCAATGCCAATTTACAACCACATTAAAGAACCTCGCAGAAGAAGAAGAACACAGTTGTCATTTCACTCATATCTATTTTAAACCCCTAATCAAGATCTTTCCCAAAATAAAAAAAAACGCAGCCACGGGGTGTCACTTCTGAAGCAATCTAATCAGACACTTGATCGTGATGTTTTATTAATTAGTTAAAGATGACAGGCAGACAGAGCAGGTAGCAGATGCTCCACCAGCTGAAATCCAGCAGCAACAAATTCCCCCGTAGATGGAAATCAGAAATCCAGAACAGAGGAACACAGTTAAAAAAAAAAAATGGAGGATTAGGAACAGAGGAAGCTTCTCTCCCAACAGTGTGCTGTGGTGCATCGCCAACGCTGGCAGAAACGTGGAGCAAATTGGACGCCTGAGCTGCAATCATCGGCCAATCGTGCCGATCTTTGTCGAGGGCTGTTTGATCTCTCGGGGCTCTTGTTGGAAGCTGCAGGTGAAGCACTTTTTTTTTTTTTTTCCTGCAAGATGAGAACAATATCTGAGCTTAAAATAACAATGAGTGTCGCCACGTTCATCCCTGTGTCCACTTAGGATTTCTTCATCCAATCTTCTTCGCTCGATCTGAGCACTTAAGCACACACACAGAGCCGCCGAACGACGAAAGGTGGCTGAAAGCTAAATTACAAGTCGTCTTAAAACCGCAGAGTTTTGTGGGTTTTATCGTCTCTCCCCTCGAGTGTTTCATTCTAACTCTTGGACACGTAAAACGGCTTCAGCAGTTTGGCGTTTTTTTTGCTTTGTCTGGTGTTTTTATTAGCTGGCTGTCCAGGAACAGTTGGAGGAGGATGATGTTGCAGTGACATGTGGTGGTTTAGAGCCACAAAACAAGTTTTCCTGCAAGACAGTGAAGTAAATGTGATTTTAAAGACAAGTGAACCAGCTGGAAATGAACTTGCTGTGTTTGATATGAGCAGAAAATATGTTGGCAGCTGCATTTTAGACTTCTTGTCCCTCTAAACTCCAAGCAGTTTTATTGGATCCTGTCACATTTTTACTCATTGTTGGCTCATTTTCACTGCAATACAAAATCCTACACCTCTACAGAAACAGAACAACCATGAAGAAGGAGAGAGAACTCAGAAATGTCTTCAGCGCAGTACAGAAAACTAATAATCTCACACAGGTGCAGAAGCGAGAGGCACAAATGGATGTAAAAATGCAAAAATAATAGGCAAATATGACAGGGGAGATGCAAAAATAACAAGACAACAACACATAGAAATGCAAAAATGACACAAGAATACACAAAAAGAAGTAGAAGGAAATGTCTCCTGTGCAGAATGACGCATTAACGTTGTCACAAAAATGCAAAAACAATGGAAAGGAGCAACACAAATAGATGTAAAAATGCAAAAATAATAGGGAAATATGACAGGGAAGGTGCAAAAATGACACCAAAATACACAAAAAGATGTAGAAGGAACACAGAAATGTCTCCGGTGCAGAATGACACACTGACATTGTCACAAAAATGCAACAATATCAGAAAGGAACGACACAAATAGATGCAAAAATGACAAAAAGATAATAATGTTATGAACAGAAATATATGTAAATGGAAAGTCCTGCACCTCTATAGAAATGGCATGGTCATGACTAGAAGTAGAGAGAACTCAGAAATGTCCTCTGTGCAGTCGGACACCGTTAGAACCCTACAAATAACAACAAAAAAATATATATGAACAAGTTGAATTTCTTTAATGTTTCAAAAATGGAAAAAAATCTGGAATCAACATATAGAATTTTTTTTTTTAAGTGTACACAGGTGCTACCAACACTGGGGGAAAATGACTCCACTATTTCCATTGTTATTTAGTTTCCATAACTGTCTCCTATGGTGGCCGACGAGGGCAAATGACGTGCATATACACAAACGAGCTGCTTAAACAGAAAACGCTGCACATCCAGTCACACAACAGAAGTGCCCCAGGCCTCTAGGGGCAGTTTTTAAGTCTTTAGTGTTTCCGTCACTGTGATTATATGGGTGCTGAAGTGGCGTTTTACTACTGTCTCCCTGTGTTCTCTCTGTTGTTTATGTTTATCCATGGAGACGAGAGAATACAATCCTGACTCGTTAATCTGATCCTTAACAATC